AAAGTTGGAAGTCCTTTATTCTGTGGGTCTGTAATTGTAATAGTCTCTGCTGTAATTGTCCAGTGGTGATATTTTTTTTTTAATTTATTGATTTTGTACAGAGAGGAAGGGAGAGAGATAGAGAGTTAGAAACACCGATGAGAGAGAGTCATCGATCAGCTGCCTCTTGCACACCCCCTACTGGGTATGTGCCCGCAACCAAGGTACATGCCCTTGACCGGAATCGAACCCAGGACCTTTCAGTCTCCAAGCCGACGCTCTATCCATTGAGCTAAACCGGTCCCGGCCAGTGGTGATATTTTTAACTGGATAAGATTCGCACATAATAAATTGGGGCTGAGAGTGTCACTAATGGTACCTTTGCTGGTGAACAGTAGGAGGAGGAGGGGAAGACCCAAGAAAAGAAGCCCTGACTCTCATCTTGCATCTGGAGCAGTGCATGCTTTCCTCTGGCATCCATTGCATGTCCACAAGCGCACAGTGCTGGGCACGGAAGGAGAGATCAGACCAGGTCTGCCTCTGAGGCACTGGCAGCCACCCTGCCTTCTCATCACTGTAGAAAGAGAATGTGGGAAGTCACTAGTGTCTACCAGCAAGCTAGTTGAGCTGGTTTTCCTTATAATTTTAAAGTGTTTAATTTTCAAATTTGAATTGGTATAGTAAAATCACATTATGTTACAGTAATTGTGTTTGAACTAAATTATAGTTAGTGCCAAGAGAAGGCCTTAACCACTCTGATGTTTCAGAAATAGATTTCAAAGCAACTTGGTGCCTTAGAGAAATTTTCATTTCCATAATACCTGAAAAGATTGACTCAAGTCAATGACTCTGCCATTTACTAAAAGGTGTATTTCTAAAAGTCCTGCTTTAAATGTTAAAAGTATTATTGAAAATTTGATACTTCTAACCAAAATAAAAAAGTTTAATACCTTATATACTTCTAGAAAGTAAGCAAAAACTGATGTCAAGCCTAAACTTCTCCCCTGTGTTTCCCCTAACCATGCAGATCTGGCCCCACTCTACACTTTAATATGCAAAGAAGATTACATGAGCCCTAATTCATGTCATCAGGGGAATCGGGCACCTCTCCCAGTGGTGGCCTTAGGTGTCCTGGTTTTGACTGCCACTTTCGGCTCCAAATCTCAATCCTGGATTGAATCCCAGGCTTCTAGGGCACTCTCATTGCCATGCCTCTCCCCGCTGTGGGTACAGCCTGTTTGGGCCCTAGGGTTCTGGCATTAGGGCTCTGTTATGGCCAGCCTCCTCTCTTGCTCAGCACTAAGAGGGGAAATCACTGCAGAGTGAGTTAGAGGTGGTTGGCTCCCCTTGCTCCTCTGCCATCCCTGCTACAGGGCACTGCATTGCCTGCTGGCTGGGGCCACCCACCGCCTTCCTGGACTAGCTTCTCCCTGCAGAATCTCTTTTCCTACTTTTCAGTCTTTCCCACATCCAGATGCTTCCAGAATAGGACTGAGATAGGACTTCCTTAATCACAAAGTCTCAGAAAAGTGTTTTTCTAATCCCAAATCATCCACCTTTCCTAACCCTGGTGATTCAGGTTTAGCCATATTAAAAAAACAAAAAACAAACAAAAAAAAAAAAACCACATAAATAAACCAACAAAAAAATGGGTAGAAGTTTGAAATTATAAACTTTGTTAATGGGTGTCCTGGGTCAGGCATTCAAGGCCCCAGAGTCCCTGAGCTTTCTTCCCTATTTGTGGTTGGCCAGCAGGGGTTTGCTTATATCTTTGAGTTTCTCTTTCTGTGGGCATTTCCCAGGTTTGGTGCCATTTCCTATAAATAGACTTTTTAATATGTTTTAAGCATATAATAGTTTAAATCAGAAGAATAATTTTAGAATAAAACACCTAGAAGAATTGGGTCCAATAACAACTTAGGGCCTATAAAAGGGCTATTTCTGGTGCTTGCTGGATAGCACAGAGGTGTGGGGGGAAGAGGGGTGAGATCATGGGGTGAGTACAGCGAATCTGCCTGGGGCACCGATGTTCCAGCAAATTTGGAAGACCTGTTTAAATGTTAAAACTACAAGCATGCTATGGAGTAGACTACAAAGTTTATAATAATTTTTAAGGTAGGATGTTTTACACATGAAGAGTTTCATGTCAGGGCTGCTATCCCAGATGGCTCCAGGGGGTCAGTTAAGGCAAATATGATAGAAGTTTGAGAAACACTGTGCCTAAGAAAGTACCATCATATAAAAATGTGTAACTTGTAAAAGGTGTTATGTTATGGCATTTGTTACTCCTTATTCTGCAGTACTTGGAAAACTACAGATATTCTTGTTTTATGTAGCATGTGTGCCAAGGAAGTTACTAGGTGTACCAGTTAATGTGGACTTTTTTCAATAGATGGAGTTACAAAATGTTGATATGTATGCAATTTGATATATATGCTATTTTGTTGTATTGACAGCAAGCTTCAAAATTTTCATGTCAAATTTGCTGAAGGTGTTAACATCATAGATATTTTTACGCTTAAAAAATGTCAAATTTCATGCCAAAAAAAGAGCATTTGTGGCAAGTTTTCATTATTTTGAAGAAAAAGTTTTCCTATACTTTGGGAAGCTTATGATTAAACATGCTTTATCTCGAGATACCTGTGAACGCAGGTTTAAATGCTTTAAAAACATTATTGGATGAAGAGGCATATCAAACTCAAAAGCAACTTGCAGAAATATTAAATGTTGTTCAACAAGCAATTTCTGATAGTTTACAAGCAATGGGAAAGATTTTAAAGGAAGGAAAATGGGTGCCACATCAACTGAAGAAAGACAATTAGAAAACCGAAAAGTCATCAGTAAAATATTACTCAGTGTCTTCAAAGAAAGTCTTTTTTGCATCGAATTGTGACTGGCGATGAAAAGTGGATTTATTTTGAGAATCCCAAATGCACAAAATCATAGGTTGATACAGGTCCACCATTAACATCCACTGCAAGACCAAATCGTTTTGGAAAGAAGACAATGCTCTGCATTTGATGGGATCAGTAAGGTGTAGTGTATTATGAGCTTTTCTAAAACCAGGTGAAATCATTAATACTGATGGCTACCGACAACAAATAATCAATTTGAACCACACTTTGATTGTGAAATGACCAGAATGTTCCAGAAGACACAGCAAAGTAATTTTGCTTCATGATGATGCACCATCACACTTTAAAACTAGTTGAAGACATGTTAAAAGATCTTGCCTGCGAAGTATTAACCCACCTGCTGTATTCACCAGACCTTGCTCCTTCAGATTACCACTTTGTTCCGATTGATGGCACACACTTTCAGAGCAGCACTTCAAAACATATAAAGAAGAGGAAAATTGGATCTTTGAATGGTTTGCATCAAAACAAGAAAAATTCTATTAGGACGGTATCCACACATTACCTGAAAGATGGGGGAAATGTGTAGCTAGCAATGGACATTATTTTGAATTAAGCACTTTTGATGTTTTTCTTAAAATTATAATGTTTTCTTTGATTATAAAATCTGCCATTATTAACCAGTACACCTAGTATGTTGGAGTTGATTGATTTGTAAATTGAATACTTGTAAATGCCATAAACACTTTTTAAAAAAAAGTTAAAATAAATTATTGTATACATACTCCCTGGTTATTAGTTTTGAAAGTTTGAGTTTAATAAAGTTCTTTTTCTTAAAGTGGACTTTTGTCACTTAACTAAAAGATAAACATCAACTCATCTTAAATTGGAAATAGTGCTATATTAATTTGACTTTCTAAAAATGTCATTTTATCAATACCATTGAATTTATCTAATTCGTACCAATAAAAATTTAAGATTATGTTTGTTGCTGAAGTGGAGTAGTATAAGAAGTATTTTTTAGGTTCCTGATCTTATAAAATATATTTATTTTTATTTTTAATGCTTAATATTATCTAATGAAGCCCATATGATAGAACATCAGTTTGCTCATGCAGTTTCTCAGGGCAGCTGATTAAGCATGAGATGAACCAGGCTAACTTCTAACTTAATTTGGAATGTTATACTATTTATTACTCCAAGCAATTATGTGAGCCAAATATAAATGTTCAGACAATTTCAGTAGCACAGTGTATGTCCAGCTACTTCCAAAGCTTTCTTGATCTTCAGACAGTATCATCTTTAGTAAGTGTCTAATAGGTAGGCTTATTAAAGTTTTATTGTACTTAATGTAAAGGAGTGGAAATGAAGATAAAGTAGAATGGATAAAATATCATTGAAATATTTTGAAGTACAACTTAAGTAAACTTTGTTGTTAATTTGGAAATGTAAAACTATGTGATCACAACTTAAGATGTATGCAAATATATCATTATGGAGGAAATAAGAACAATATTGTATTGATTTCTAGATTTTTTTGAATAAGACTATTTTAACTTTAGTCTAAAAATATAAAGGTAAAACTAACTTAGCTACCTTATTTATTAATTCAATAACTATCTAGGTTAAGCAACTGCTTATAGAAGATTTAAATAAGATGTAGAACAGTATAATTATCAGCTAGGAAAGTACATTATATAGAAATTCTTACAGAACATTACCAATTTTTTCAGAGAATCTTTTACTATGATTATAATCTCTATTAGACAGGAAAATACCATTAAAATGTTATTGACTTATGTAATGTAAAATAAGTTTTAAAATTTTAAATCAATCATATTAGTCTAAAATTTTATCACTGAATTAAGGTAACAGAAAGTGGATGTGTTTCTGGGCTATGATTAAATCAAGAATTGCACACTAGTAAATTAGCTTTGAATTGAAATAACTAAAACATTTTTCATATTAAGATCGAATATTGGGTAATAATTTCAACTTTTGGCTGCTCTGTAATCAGAGCACAGCACAGGGACAGGCTCTGAGTGTTAGAAAAATGCTGACTTGTGTTGGGTTTTGCTGGTAGAATGATGTCTCTACTACAGACTGAATCGTAAGTTGTTGAAATTAAATTTTAACAAATTTTTACTTTTTCTATTTCATTATTAGGCAATCAGCTGCAAAGGTCAACACAGTATATCATACACTCTGTCAAGGAATCAGACTGTGGTGGTCGAATATACACACGATAAAGATACGGATATGTTTCAGGTAACATGGTTGTTGTTTTCTTAGTGGAAATTTTAGGACATTATTCCTTCAGTTCTATATTTTGATATGTGATCATACCTTCTAGCATATTAGCTTTTGGTTATGCCTAAGGGGAAAGGGGTGAGGATAATATAAAAATTATTTCTATTTTGTTTTTGAGAAACTAAGGAAATTAATTCTAAAACTGTAGAAGGAATTATAAAGGCTACATTCTCAGATTTCAATGTAATAAACATAGACTTTAATAACAAGAATAAAATTTTTATAGCCAGCTACTTTTAAAAGTCAACATGTTTAAAATATTTCCTAAATAACATTTGAATGAAAGGTGACATCCAAAATACAATTTTAGGCCTTTTTAAAAACAACTGGGAACATTATATAGCAAAACTCATTTGATATGACTGACAGCATACTCAAAAGAAATATAAAAACTTAAGTGCTTTTATTATTTGGAATGGAGGAAGCAAGGGAGTGAGGAGGGAAACAGAGAGGGTCAAAGGACCAGGGAACTGAATATTTATCTCAAAAAAGTTCTGTTTAAAAAAAATGACATTAAGAAAGTAGAGGTTCAGGAATTAATTATATATATTAGAATGTCCAGAAATACAGCAAAAGAAAGGAGGAGGAAGGAAGTGATTAAGGGAGAAATATCATCATTAATTTTAAAAGAGAATTACTATATCCAAGATTTGGTACTTTAAAACAGCAGAAAATTAAAATCAAGGCTAATAAAAAAATTTTAAAAAGCAAACACAAATTGGAAGCCATGAGGCTTTGTATTTATATATGGAGAGTTAAATTATTAAATGTTAGAAACAAATGTCAAAAAAAGTATAGATACATCAAAAAGCATTAAAATAACTCTTGCAAATAAGAAAATATGCTCAATTTATCAGACTGGCAGAACTCCAAAAGGTTTTGTCAAAGATTTGGGAGACAGGCTTCTACATGCTATAAATTGGTATGATCTCTATAGGATGGTGATTTGGAAATACCTATGAAAAATACAAAATGTTTACACTTTTAGACTCAGTACTTCTCCTAAAGCTCTTCCATTCCTAGAGATTTACCTCAGAGATAACCCTGCATACTTACAAAATAATATTTTTATCCAGTTACTCTTTGACGCATGGTTTACTAACAAAAGATTACAAACAACCTAAATATACTTTAGTAGGGGACCAGTTCCATGAATTTGGGGACATAGTCAGGGCCTCCAAGACTATAAAACAGAATAAGCAGGCTCAGAAAGAGTTCCAAACATTTAAAGAATTAAATACTAATACTATTAAATATATTTATACTGAGTCACATATCTTTGATATTATATTCAGTTAATATTAATGTTAAATGTTAGTGATGTAAATAATATAAAATATATTAAATTGTAAATAGCATATTAATCATTAAATATTAAATAAGTATTATTAAATGTTTAAATAATGCTTACATGCATTAAGTAAAGCAGTTGCCTTTGGGGAAGAGGGCTAGGCAGATGATATACAGGGAAGTATTTCATACTTCTTTATTTCTTGAATGATGTTAATGTATTAGCTATTTTATAAAAAGCTAAACAATTATGGGTAGATAGAGCCATCATCATAGTCAAAGTCATAGGTATAGACATAGTATTTAAGTGCTAGTTTGAACTCAAAAGTAAGATTTACCAAATTCAGACAAAATATTAAGTGGTTTTACTCTTCATGCCATTTTATTTTATATTATTCCCAATTATTTTCTCATTCTATTGAATAAAATCTCTTAGTAGTTTTAGATGGTAACATTAGTATCTACATAGTTGAGGAAAATGTTTAAGAATATCAATATTTTTTCAATAGTTATTTTTTAAAACATGTGAGTGTGTTTATTTCATAGTGCTCAAGCTCACTGTCATAATCCTCCATTCATCAGTTTCATTTCATGAGTGCCTACTGTGTGTCAGATGCTCACCTAGTTCCTGTACATATACCGCTAAGGCTACCTCTCATGGAGCTTACATTCTAGAGGCAAATAGTCCACAAACAAGCAGGCATTCCAAGCAGAAGGCCAAGGCCTCAGGGGTAGGAGCAAGGTGAAGGAGGAGGAAAATGACCTGAGATGACCTTGGAAAGGTAGGCAGAGGCGGGGAGAGGCAGGGCCTTTAAGCCAAGTAAAGAACTTGGGTTTTATTCTAGGAGTTTGGGAGAAGCTGTTGGAGGATTTTAAGTAAGAGAGAGCTACAATCAGATTTCTGTTTTTAAAAGATGTCTCCAGCTACTTTCTATCGAGGAGAATGTAGGAGGCCAGTGTGAAACTGGAAAACCAGTTTGGAGGCTAAGGTAATGCAATCCAAATAAGAGTTGGAGGTAACTGGAACAAAGGTGAGGAAAGATGTGTTTTGAAGGTAGTGTGGACAGGATTTCAACAAGATGAAACATGGGTGTGGACGAAGGAATCAAAGATAATTCCTGGGTATTGATTTTTAGCTTGAGCAAATTGGATGCCAATCATTGACTTAGGGAACCCAGGAGTGGAAGGGGATCTAGGTTCTGTTTGGAACATGTTACATTTGATATGCTTATTAGACATCCAAGTGTGTGCATTGGGTGTGCTAGTCTGAAGCTCCGGGAGAGATCAGGGCTTTGTGGCTAATAGCTGGGATTTGATTAGATTACCCAGAGAGAGAACAAAAAGAGTAGGAAAGGGAGCTATTTACCAATAGTCGAGAAGGGTTTCATTATTTGAATGCCAGGTACGAATGTGTCAGCATATGCTGGCTGATTATAAGCCCTGGAAACCTCAGCAAGAGCCTTGGGAGAAGCTCTGTTGCAGTGGGTTGAGGAGAGATGTTAAGGGGATGAGTAAGGAAATGGAAGCAGTAACTAGTGAGGGGTTTTCAAAAAGTATTGCTGTTAAATGAATCAGAAATGAGGTAATAGTTTGAGGGTTGCCTGCAGGCAAAAGAAAGTGTCTTTTAAAGATGAGAGACTAGAACAGGGCTACTCAAACTCCTGGGCAGAGCAGCAAAAAGTCTGTTAACAGTAATTGGGATCTCATTTCTCAAACTTAATTTGTTTCGGAAGGCTGTTTGAGAAGCAAAGTGTTTTTTCCATTAGAAATCATGTAAATTGAATTAAACTGTTCCAGACCCCAAAATGATTCCGTTTTAACCTTCCTTATATATACTACATGTCTAATTTACTGTTTAAATTTATAAATATACACTTTTGAAATTTATCAAACCACCCACTACTAGCTTTAAATGAATTTTTCATATATCACTGCCTCAGAAATGCTATCACCAGCTAACTGCTTTTCCTTGATCCAGTCAGCAGCAGTTTTTCTACATATTCAATTGCCTGTGGTTGTTTTGTGAGCATTTTCACATTAGCAACATTAGCACTCCTGATGGCCTCTTCATTTTAATTGTGCTAATAGTATATTTGGCCAGCAACAAAGCATTCTCTTTAGTTTGTTGCCTGAGAGATGCTTTTAATCATGCTGAAGTATCAGGATGAAAGGGTTGTCAGGTCCAAAACTGAAGGTTTTGGTCAACCAAGACATTTTTTATGAAAAACTTAGTGGAGAACCGAATTGTTCAAGATGGGAGCTGTTTGAGAACCGATGTTTGTGCAGTGAGATGAGTAGGAAATTGGAAGCTGTTACAGCAGTTTGGTATTCCTGAAGCATCGGAATAGGTGATCACTTTTCTAATACTCATGTTATTGTATTTTTATAAGGTATCTGTGGCAAGTTGAATTGTACAAAACAAAACAAAAAAACAAAAAAACTGGTTCTTTCCTCCACAAAGGCACAGTTTGAGAAGCTCCAGCATGTGTTTGATGGCTAACGGCATGATCCAGGCTCCAGAGAGAAATTGATGATTCAGGAGAGAGGGGTGGCAGGAGCAAATATTGGGAGCAAAATCCTTAAGAGGCGGAGAACATTGGGATCTCAGGCATCAGTGAAGAGATTGGTCCTGAATAGCAGCGGCAATATGTCATTCTTGCCATAGGAGGGAAGCCAGATGATGTTACAAGTGCAGGGGCGTGGGAAGGGTTGGCCTGGGAAACCTGAGGGAGGCCCTTTCAGGTGCTCCTGTACTATCTTACCCGTACTGGCTTCGACTGACAATCAGGCAAACCCAGACTCTTCTCAGATGTATTAAAATGTAAAGTGCTGAATGATGCTGGGTCTGTATCAGTAGTAAGGGTTAAAGTTCTCCATGTGGCTACTGTAAGAATATCAGATGAAATACAGAAACAACTTGGCTTATCTACATGACTGCTCTTAATGTAAAGTTGATCCAGTAAACAAAAGAAAAAACAGGACCAAGTTTTTCCACAGTAGGTGAGTTTTCAGTAGAAAGTGGCTCAATTTTTTTCCTGGCAAAAGCCCCCTGAAGTTTGTGTTTGCAGTATCTAGAATAATAAAAGCTAATTAGACCAGACATCCTTAGGGATGAAGCAGGGCTGCGAGGGAAGTCCCCCGGTCCTGGGTGCCAGAGGGAAGTCGGTGCCAGCAGCCAGGGAAAGGAAGGCTACTCTTGCACCAATTTTATGCATCAGGCCTCTAGTAAAATTATACTAGCACTCTGCAGGTTAGTTTTAAGTGGAAGTGAATTGATAAACAAATCTTATATGACCAGTCAGATAAGTATCATGACTTGAAATAATTGATCCTAGCAGTATGTTCCAGCTGAAATAAAATGTCATGTATTACAGTCAATTTCAGTTAATTCATCAAGACACTAATTTAATACCTTGGGATGAGATCAGAATGGCCTTTCTTGAAGATAATAATCTCTGTAGACAAGGAGCAGTTGTGTGACATTCTATTGGAGCTTGGTTTTAGCTTTGAACTTATGACAGAACTTAAAAAGGCATGGCGGTGACAAATGAGGTCAGAGACTGTGTTGTTTTGAGAACTCTGGGTTTTGTGACCAGGCAGTTTTAGAACTGTTCACATTTTCTAAGCTTCATTGGAATAGAGGTTCATGATGGGTTTGTTTCTGAGCTTTATTTTCTCCTTTATGCTTCCCTATATTTGTGAAATATTTTGCATAAGTATTTTTTTACTTCTTTAATTGAATAAACATATTTTGAAGCGAAATAAATTAGAGAAAGACAAAAGCAGTATAATATCACTTATATGTGTAATCTTTAAAAAAATAAAAATCATAGAAACAGAGACTAGAATGGTGGTTTCCAGGGGCTGAGGGTAGAGATGTTGGTCAAACAGTATAAACTTACAGATGGAAGATGAATAAGTTCTGGGTATTCGATGTACCACACAGTGATTATAGTTAATAATGCTGATTATATACTTGAAAGTAGCTAAGAAAATAGATTTAAAAGGGACTTTTAAAAATTAGAGTTGTCTGATTCAGAACTTCTGAGTTATACACCCAGCTTTTAAATGAATCTAGCAGAGAGGAGAGTCTGCCTCTTCAGAAAGATGAATTGTATGATGATATGATTTTGTAATACCTCTAATTTACATTTTATGTTGCATTTTTAAACCTGAAATGCATACATTCAAGAAATATGCATCTAGTTCAAGTTGATGAGTTTCCATGAGCCCAGTGGTTTAGTTTATTCCAGGCACATTTCATTAGGACAAGAAATTAAGGTTTATAAAAGAAAAGGAAAAAGAAAAAAAACAGGAGAAAAGTGATGTCTGTTGTTGGTTGGTTTGCAATAGTCTATGTATGAAAATGTATATATAAGACTTACAAAAGAAATTTAATATTATTTCAGGAAGCAAGCAGAGCTAAACTTATGTACTAAATATTAATACTTTCCCTTTTTTACACTTGGATAAAAAGTATATTATATTGTTTATATTTTAGATAGAATTTTGAGATCTGGATAAAAATTTATGGGAAATTGCCTTTTGGGGACCTTACATATACACATCTGTGCTCTTCCCATTGGCAGCTTCGGAATCAAAGTCACTATTGTTAGAACGTTAATATGTTTAGCAAGAAATTATTCACCTACATATAAGTGATTTTAAATTAAGAAGTCTCTTTGTCATATATAACATCACCGTTTTCCAGTAGAGATTCATAGAAAATCATTACATAAACATTTTACTCTTTTGTCTTGAGATTTCCTTATTTGTAAACAAATACTTCTGTTCACAGAACAGAACAATTCCTGTCTTATTTGGATTTATTGAATATGAAAAGCTTTGTTAGAAGCTTTGTTAGAAGCTTTTCATATTTCTGGCCAATGAAATATTTGCTTTTTGGCAGCATTTAAACTTACCAAGGAAAAGAAGCCAATATAATATAATTAGCAATTTTTAGACTTCCCCAAGAGAATTTTTTAAAAACTCCTAGTTGGAAATATTAAGACGAGCTTTGTAATCTTTCATGTGACTGCATCCAAACTTCGCTGACTTGGACATCCTCCTCACACTGAGGAACGGGAACAGGTTTTTATCTTGGGTCTGAGTTAGGGCTATTTTTCCCCCCTTAAATTCTGACCTTCAGAGCAGAGATAAGGAATGTTAAAGGGTCCTGAACTTTCACTCCATTTGAGCAAAGTATGATGACATGGTATTTTTTAAGTGAGTTATGAGTGATTTTATTTACTCAGGTGGGCAGATCAACAGAGAGCCCTATCGACTTTGTCGTCACAGACACAGTTTCTGGCGGTCAGAACAGTGACGAAGCCCAGATCACACAAAGCACCATATCCAGGTTTGCCTGCAGGATTGTCTGTGACAGAAATGAGCCTTATACAGCACGGATATTCGCAGCCGGATTCGACTCTTCCAAAAACATATTTCTTGGAGTAAGCGCTATTACTAAGTACCTTGTTTCAAGAAAAACACTGTCTGGCCAGTGTTGCTCAGTGGTTGAGCATTGACCTATGAACCAGGAAGTCATGGTTCGATTCCCAGTCAGGGCTCATGCCCAGGTTGTGGGCTTGATCCCCAGTGTGGGGCCTATAGGAGATAACGATCAGTGATTCTCATTATTGATGTTTCTCTCTCTCTCTCTCTCTCTTTCTCTCCCTGTCTATCCCTTCCTCTCTGAAATCAATAAAAATATAAAAAGAAAAAGAAAAGTACCCATTATTATCATATATGACATATAATTGTGACCAAAAAATGTTTTATGTGATGCCTCTACTTAAATTTTGAGATTTTAATTTTCAGATGGCCAGTTCGAAAAGCTGTTATTAAAAATCTAAAAATAGCCGAAACCGGTTTGGCTCAGTGGTAGAGCATCAGACTGTGGACTGAAAGGTCCCAGGTTCGATTCCGGTCAAAGGCATGTACATTGGTTGTGGGCACATCCCCGGTAGGAGGTGTGCAAGAGGCAGCTGGTCGATGTTTCTCTCTCATCAACGTTTCTAGCTCTCTATCCCTCTCTCCTCCTCTCTGTAAAAAATCAATAAAATATATTTTTTTAAAAAAGATGAAAACTTATTAAAAAAATCTGAAAATAATTGCCATTACTTGTTTTATTTGCTATAATAATTATAATATGTATAGTAATTAAATTTTAAAGAATATCTCAACATTGTGCATAATGTATTTATGATAGTTTTAAGGGGGGTTATTTTATAGGGAAAATAAATGTATAAAACTAGATAGAGTTCAAAGGAAAATGTTAATTATTCATTCTTTAAGAATTTGAGTGTTTGCTGTGTTCCATATTGGGTTATAGATGTGATATCACAAAGAACAAAACATTAAAAGTTCTGCTCTCATAGGGTTCCATGTAATTTAAACCTAAAAGGTTTAGTGATTATCCACTTTTCATATAGTTCTTTTTAAAATATATTTTTATTGATTTTAGAGAGGAAGAAAAAGGAAGAGAGAGATAGAAACATCAATGATGAGAGAGAATCATTGATTGGCTGCCTCCTGCAGACCACACACTGGAGATTGAGCCCGCAACCTGGGCACCTGGCATATGGCCTGACCGGGAATCAAACTGTGACTTCCTGGTTCATAGGTCAATGCTCAACCACTGAGCCAAACCGGCCGGCCCATATAGTTCTTTTTTGAATCAGGATATTTTTGTAGAGAAAATAAAAACACTCAACACGGCCTAAACCATAATGAAAATGATTATCCCACACTACAGCAAGTGCCAAGCAAGGCCAACTGCAGGGTTGCTTGGTTCAGTGTTTCTGTGACATCTGAGGAACCAGTTTTTTTTTTTCTGTCTTGCCCTCTCCCTCTGGGCACATTAGCTTTCTCAGGTGCGGCCGTCCCATGGGTGAGAGATGCTTCTGCACTACCACACACCCCTGCAGCACGGCAGCTTCTGGCCGAAGAGGAGGCGGCAGAGGCAGCTTATCCCTTGTCTCTTGTCTCTTACTAGAAATTTTCCCAGGCAGCCTCCCCGGAGACTCAGTCAGGTCCCATTGGCCAGATCCGCCACATGCCCACCCCTAAACCAGCCATTAGCAAGGCACTGGAATCATCATACCTGGCTTATCGTACTCAGAGTTTACCCCTAAGTCATGTGAACAATATCCGCCTCCAGAGAGGAGCAAAATCCCTGCAGCACAGTCGGTCATCGAGGTGTCTGTCCCGCTGTTACAACAACTGCTGAGCCTTCCTCGACATCCTGTCCCGAGTCACCGGAAAACATGGTGGCCGCAGATTGCTGACTTCACGCTTGTTGAAATTTTGTATGTTTAATAGAAATGTTTTTCTTCCTCTGCACATTTCCCTAATAATGAGTTCTTACAAAGCATCTTTAGATGAGGAGATGAAAGCACTGCACAAATAAACTGAAGATTCTGGAATCACCGGAGGGAGGTGGGTGGGTTATGAAAAAGAATCTGTGAGAGAGAGGCCCAAGCTTCAGGTTGTTTGTTTTTAAGCTCCTGAGATAAATAGAATGTGTCTCTGGAGATACATTATTCATCCATTTTACCACTTCTTCCATATTGTTGGACTAACTGGATATTTTATTCTGATTGGCTTTAAATTGAACATGAAAATTCACTACTTCAATCCCCTCCACACCTACCCAATATTTTAAAGAGGTTCTAGAATCCCTTCATTTAGCATGCTTTCTCCACTCTCCAGGAAAAGGCAGCAAAATGGAAAAACCCCGATGGCCACATGGACGGGCTCACTACAAACGGGGTCCTGGTGATGCACCCCAGAGGGGGCTTCACTGAGGAGTCCCAGCCCGGGGTCTGGCGCGAGATCTCGGTCTGTGGAGATGTATACACCTTGCGAGAAACCAGGTCAGCCCAGCAGAGGGGAAAGCTGGTGAGTAGACTTCACTCTGAAAAAATGCAACCGGCTGCAAAAACCTAACTTGAGGACTGTCATTTTCCTCCCCGAAATTCAGAAGCTTTGTACAGGTATGCGTGCTGGGTACCACTGGCCCAGTTGGGTGAGAATTCTGCAGGCCCTGAAAGCATGAGGGAAATAACCCCATTTGCTCTAACAATTAAGCTTTCCTCGTAGCAGAATACATTATCTTTTGCTCCTTACAACCTTAAGAGCATAATCATTTATTATGTCCTTCGCCACAAAATTCCCCTTATATTCACTAAGAATAAACTTATTTTTAGTGTAAAACTTTACTAATTTGGAAAAAAAAAAAAACAGTCTAAGACTAATTTAGTGAAAATTTTGATTTACAGAACTATTTACTAGCCCTTTTGGAACTAAAAGATAATTAACTTTTTTTGAGTTTGTAAGAAGAAAATGAATACATAAATATATATATGTGTATATATATGTGTGTGTGTGTGTATATATATATATATATATATATATGTATGTATGTATGTATATATATAACTCACCAGAATCGTAGTTATAGCTTTTTATTTGAAATAAGTCATATGTGCATTGACTTGGCATGCTAATATTTTCCTAGAACTATTATTACTTATCCTAAATTCCCTAAAGCAGTTGGTTCTTTAACCCTTTCTTCTATGGAGAATGATCTTGCCACAGCTATAGAGCACAGTGTGCAAGGTTTTTTAAATTGAATTCGGGTGACATTGGTTTCAAGTGTACAATTCAATAAAATATCATCTGCACACCAAATCACATGCTGATCACCCAAAGTCAAATCTCTTTCCATCCCCATTTAACCCCCTTTTGCCCATTTCCACCTCCCCCGACCCACCTTCCCTTCTGGCTAGCCCCACACTGTTGCCCATGTTTATGTGTCATCCAGCCTGCATCCTCTCCAATCAGGGACCCCTCAGGGGGTGTCTGACTGCTGATTTAGGCCCAATCCTGATTTAGACATTGCTCTCACAATCCTGGACCGTTGGCTCCTAATCGCTCACCTGCCTGCCTGGTCACCCCTAACTGCCTCCCCTGCCTGCCTGGTCACCCTTAACTGTCCTCACCCCTGCCGACCTGGTCGCTCCTAACTGCCCCTCTCTGATTGCCTGGTCATCTCTAACTGCCCCTCCTGCTTGCCTGGTTGCCCCATGCATCCTGCTTGTTAAGTCGTTTGGTCATCCCTCACTAAACCCCCTGCCAGTCTAGCTGTAGGCAGCCATCTTGTGAGAGCATGACAGTTAATTTGCATATTACCTCTTTATTATATAGGATATCCAGTGTTCAAGAGAGGGAACTAAGGCTCAGGGAGAGTAAGTTACTCCCTCAGTCCCGTCTTTAGTACAATAAACTGTCTCCCCATGCTTGCTTCAAAGATGACATGTTTTGAAATGAGAGAATGTCAGAGCTTTGCCAAATTTTGTTTTTTAAAGGCCTGTCTGTCCACTTGCTCTAGGTGGAAAGTGAGACCAACGTGCTGCAGGACGGCTCCCTCATCGACCTGTGCGGGGCCACCCTGCTCTGGCGGACAGCCGACGGCCTCTTCCACGCCCCCACCCAGAAGCACATCGAGGCCCTGCGGCAGGAGATCAACGCGGCGCGGCCGCAGTGCCCCGTGGGCCTCAACACCCTGGCCTTCCCCAGCATCAACCGGAAGGAGGTGGTGGAGGAGAAGCAGCCCTGGGCCTACCTCAGCTGCGGCCACGTGCACGGCTACCACAACTGGGGCCACCGCAGTGACACGGAGGCCAACGAGCGGGAGTGTCCCATGTGCAGGACTGTGGGCCCCTACGTGCCTCTCTGGCTCGGCTGTGAGGCCGGATTTTACGTGGACGCAGGACCGCCAACACACGCGTTCACCCCGTGTGGACACGTGTGCTCGGAGAAGTCTGCCAAATACTGGTCTCAGATCCCGCTGCCCCACGGAACTCACGCGTTTCATGCCGCCTGCCCCTTCTGTGCCACGCAGCTGGCCGGGGAGCAGAACTGCATCAAATTAATTTTCCAGGGTCCAGTCGACTGATGCCCTTGGCAGCCATCTACGACTTTATTAACACGTTACTGTGAAGATTTTTGCCACTAACTCTCGATTTTACCTTTTTATAGTGTTGTTTGTTAAGGGAGGGGGCCCGAGGCTGGGAGGAGGGGGAGCGTGGCGAGGAGACGCGCTGGGAGTTGGAGGCCAGTGGTGTGTTGCATGCTCCACACGGCGGCATCATCCTTGAAATCGGCCTGGTTAACCACATGATCTCTGTAATGATCGGACTGATTGCGCCATGCTTTCATTTCAACCTTGGGTTTTTAACAAGTCTTTTCCCCTTTGTAGCCTTGGGTAAAACTTTAAATCATATTTTACAAATGAAGAAATTTTTTCGAAAGTTGTTGGCTAGTAATACGCCATGGTCCGTGCTGCAGGATGTAGGTGTTACCTGAACGACCCACGATGTCTGGAAATACTTGACACATCAGGCTAGAATCTGACCGGATACCGAAGGTGGCTCTATTAAGTGTTACCGATGGTCAGGAGGCCTTAGGCACAGGTGGTGGGGGCTCTTTTCTGGTTTATTTTTCTTTCTTTTTGGGGGAGAGAATATTCATATGTTGTCCTGTTTTCTTTTTAACTTTGGTGGATTATAGTTATTTTATACACACATTCACCAAATACCTTGGCATTTCAAACAAAGAACTTTCCATAACTTTTTAGTTTGCCTTTTGTTATTTCTAATATATTTGGTCCCCGATACTCATCGTGCATGGCCAGAACTGTTCAGTTTATTAAAATGTAGCAACTTTTAAAAATCCATTCACTGAGGGTGATTATTGCAGCAGTTAACATGGCCTAGGTACTATAATACCAAGTTTATTTGCTTACTGGATTGCTTAAGATTTAAGAGCGATTAAAAGTGAGATTTTACTATATAAGACCACTTGTTGGGGTTTCATAAGTTTACTTTTCTTCCTAAAGAAAGCCAAAATTCTATGAGCCTAAGAGCAACACGTCCCAATGACACAGGCGTTTTTATCTACTCCCTCTCCGCCATCTGTCACCTTCCCTTGCAGCTTACAGAACCCTGGAAGTTTTGAAAATGTTTGCAAATCAAGCTACGTTTAAATGTGAGCATTAGATATACACAACACAAGTAGTACATCTGCAGAGATAATTTGAAATTCTTGATTTCAAGAGAGCAAATGTGTTTACTGAGGAATAATTAAACTGAAATTTCAGATGAGCCCCTCCAACCCTCTCCGTTTTTTCCCTTCCACTTGGAATAATAATCCACGGGCGCCATTCTGTGTGTACCAGGAGCATCACTGCTCCCAGAATGGAAATCCTGCGGGACAGAGCTGGCTGAGGTGGTGGGTCCCTGCCACATGGACAAGTATTTATTTAAGCTAACGTCCTCTTCAATTGACCACTGCACACCCGTACTTCATTCACATTTTTTAACCTTTGTAAAGATATCTAATTTATATGGTTCTAATATACTATATCTGTACTTGAATTGGTTTTTCCTTGTTTTGCCTACTGGCAAATATTTTGCCTATTTTCAATTGTTCTGAACCATTTTCGAATGTCCTCTTCCTTACAGTGGTAAGCTATATTACTCTTGATTGCTGCTGCTTAATTTGACTTAATATGTAAGAAGTTCAGCCTCTGTTATAAAATAGCTTTACTCTTCCATGGAGACTATTGTGTAGGCTGAGATGTTTTTGTTTCGGTAGGTTTTAAGTGATGTGAAAATCCAATGACAGCCCTCTTACTGATCGCTTACCCTGTTCTATGTAGTGTACTCTACCCGAAAACAGAAAAGAAAGCAATGGGGCTGCCTAACTAATACGTCAAATGCCTCCTAATTTAGCCAGAGTCTCCGGTGATTAGCTTTCACTGATGAGTGTGTCCTTTTTTCATTCTGTGATTCTTTGGGTTCCACAAAATGGTAAAGGAGGCGCACAGTCCCTCTTCTTGCTATAGAGCTAGAAGGAGGTTTGAGGACTCTAGATACCCAAAAGGTATCTTGTAAAGTAAATTAATCTAGCATCCAAAATGGCTGGATTTTGCCTATCAAAAAAAAAAAAATCTTTTTTTCCCCAGAAAAGTTGTGCTCTGATATAATTTTCCATTTCAAAAACTAGGAGTCTGGCAGTTCTGCATACAACATATGCCTCAAAACAAAATTATATTCTAACCTGAAAAGTTTCTGACGTTTAGCAAATTTGGATAGCTGAATGGCAGCTGAAACTTGGAAAATAAATTTCAAACTCTTGGAAGGCACTACATCTTGTCCTTTGACCTCTACACACGGTCCCTCCCACCCCACCTGCCTGGGACACCACAGTGCGGGGGCAAGTCTGCAAAAAGGAAACCATGTTCATCGTGGCCATGTCTAGTCAGATCCCCTTATGATCTTGGCTATGAGATTTCTTTCTCAGAGTAGAGAGTGTCAGTGTGTAGGAATAAAGAACTCTAATCACCAAAGTAGAGTAATCTAGTTCAGAAAAGGTAACCTCTCGGAGGTCACTTGTGTTTTTATGTCTTGCTTGCCACCACATTGAAGGGTGAGTCTCACTCCCCTATGTGCATTCATAGGAAATTACTGACCAATTATCCCCATCTCGACCTGACCGAAATGCCTTTTGTGAATAGGTTTCCAGAAGTTTGGCCCCAGTGATGTATTCCCATTGGTATTTTTCTTTCAGTTGTTTACTATCAAAAAAAAAAAAAAAATTTAAGAGTGAATGGGATTACAACTCAATATTTTTCTAGTCCGGAATTTTTTTATATAATAATCGGTGCTGCTGGGTCATGCATGCTGCAACTCTTAACATTTCCCTTATTTGGTTATGCTTTTTGCAAAAAGGGCTACAGTTCACACTGCAGAGTATTAAGCTTTCTGGGTTTTTCCCCCCACTGTGGCCCCAAAGAATTAAAACCCTTTAATATAAATAGAGCATATTTATCATTCCTCGATAGTTAATTATAGAGTTTGGTACCTTTGTGCCTCAGGGAAGCCACGTGATATAACTGGTTATAGAATTTCAGGGTTAGGGTTTAGAGAAAGGAGAAAGCCATTGGAAAAACGATGGGCTCCATTAAGGAGACTAATGAATCTGGATGCAGAAATATGCCATTAACTGGCATACACGTGATTGTAGTAGAATTTATTTCCAGTATCAATAGGGAAATTATTTCTAAGTTTTGCCATATACTGTATCAGGAGAGCTGAGGAGAGTGCTTTCATAAAGCTTCAATGCTTTATTTTTGCTTACATAGAAAAACTTCAAATCCTGTGATGTGGGAGCTCAGTATTGTTGTTTGGGCACTTTTGAGAGTGTAAGGGAAGCACTTCCCTCATTTGATTTGTGTGACATAGGTCACAGAATTGTCACCTGTTGCCCTATGATTTTGATCTTGTTTTTAAAAGCCATTCTGTTCTTTGGACTTGCATGAAAGAGTTATGATCACACCATTGTTAATGCTGGCTACTACCTTGCTATCTTCGAGTGATCCTGCCTTGTGACATGGAATTTCTGATAGACAAGCCACGGAACCTTGATTCTAAGCCAGGTCCAGCTCCATTCCCTTGCCGGTCAACCTTACATCCCCACAGCCCAGCCTCCATGGGCTGAAGGTATGAAGGTCTGTCATCGATGCTGGAAATGGAGCCACCCTGTGATCGCTTCTTTATGACCCAGTCAAAGGCCAGTGAGGAGACAAGGATCTTTTGGAAAGAGTGTAAGAATTATCGAAGCAGTAAAACAGGACTTCTCAGTATTTCATTTTTGTAAAACTTACATCCTCTCAAGTAAATGTTAGCCCTCATGAACAATCCTTAGAGGAAGATAGGGAAAAGCAAATATTTTTCCAGTTCTATTTAACTTTCTAAACAAAATAAACTCAATGAAAAGGAAGCTGGGTTTTTTGGTTTTTTTTGTGGGGGTTTTTGTTGGTTTTTATTTTATTTTTTTTTAGTGGAAATGACAAATTGCTTCCCTGTATTAAATAGTCTAGAAGTTAAGGGGTGGTCCTATTTACCATGTATAGTATTATGAGCAGTTAAATTTTATGGCTATATTTGTAAAACTGTTCTTTTATATTTCATGTCAAATTGAAAAATTTATTTCTTCACTATTGTACCTGTGGAAATACAAGCCATTTTACAGGAAAAACCTTCAAAAACTATTAAACAGATCTCAGTATGTTTCTGAGTGGTTGTCTTCAGACTCTATGGCTATCCTGGTTCATCAGGACATTCACTAGGAAGCTAATACAAAAACAGACTCGATTCTTATATTTAAGCTTATTATTGTTTTATATTCCACACAGTGCAGATATATTAAAACCTGGATACTGAAAAAACCCTTAATTTTCTTATGTAAAAAAACTTCATTGGTGCTTATATTACTATTTCTTGAGACATTATATCCCTCTCAAATAAATCTAACTTAGGAGATCTTAACCTGGCTTGTAGGATTAATGGATTCTCTTTCTGACCATTAAAGTCATATTGCTACTTTTGTGAAAATCTTCATTCACATTTAACAACATAAGGATTATGTGTAAGCCTTCAGGCCTTAAGCTGATGTCTTTTGTAAGAAAATATATGTATTTATGATAATTTTTCCATCACATTGATATTTAAAGCATCTTAGTATTGTTGAGACAGATTTTTCACTTCCACCAAAGAAAATGCACATTTATGTGGGCTTTTATTTCAGGAGTTAAGTGTTTCATACTTGAGTTGTAAGATGTGTTATTATGGATGAAGATAGTTATAATTATAAGAAGATGCATCCCATTCACAGAGGTACAGTATTCATAGGGAAAAAGCAGTGTTCAACAGATGGAGTTGGAACAACTAAATATTTACATGCAAAAGAATGAAGTCTTACACATACCTACCTTACACAATATACAAAAATTAAATCTCATTAGGTTAAAGGGCAAACACGAGAATTCTTAGAATAAAGCAGAGTAAATCTTTGTGACCTTGGGTGAGTCAATGATTTCTTAATACAACACCA